TTTAAGTTCTGGTATTTCCATTAGTTAGAAACATACTCCTAATAAAATGATACATTTACTTTTCATCCTTGTTCCCTCCACTATAAGAGGAATTCACAAAGTAAGTAATTGGGTAGAAATATTTTAAAGTTAGTTCTTATCCTACAAGAGAATACCTGCCTCATGGAAAATGTAAACTTAAAAAAAAAAAAAAAAAAAAAGCATCTGCATTAAACAGCAATTCTGAAAAATCAAGAAATTCTGTGGATAGTGATGATCAAAATTCTTATTTTCAAATAGCCCAAACTAGTGCAAAACACAAAACATTGAGTAGAACTACAACTGCCCATTTGAACTAAAATTGACCTTTGTACTTAGAAAAAAAATATTTTAAGATTTAATTAGTTAAGAATTAAGTGACAAGACATGTGTAAAACACCCAGTAGAAATCTGGACACACAATAAAAGATAATTATTAATGCACTGGACTGCAAATCACAAGGTTAGCAGTTCAAACCCACCAGGTACTTCTCAGAAACCCTATACAGGGTCTCTATGAGTTTGAATTGACTCTACGACACTTAACAGAAACAACAATTAATGAAGTGAAATGATTAAAACCCATGGTGTTTCTTACATTTACATTTCTCCTTTGAGCACATATGAAGTTTCCTTCAAAAAGTTAGGGGAAAGATTCCATTATCTTTCAATACCATTTTCCATGAGCTTTAAAAAGCCCCATCATGCAGAACCAAAGTGAAAACAATGTTGAAAGGCAATGACCAATGACATCGTGCTGATTTAACCCTCTTCTTTGGGAGACTTGGCAAAAAAATACATGTCTCTGATATATATGCCTAAACTTAAAGTACTTGCTCTATTAATACTTGGGTAGAAATTTCAGAATAATTTTTTTTTTCCTCTCCAGGAGATAAAGTCATCCCACTCTTCACTCCCCAGTGTGGACAATGTGCTGTTTGTAAACACCCTGAAGGCAACTTCTGCATGAAAAACGAGTAGGTTTCTGATACTGTTCTTGCACAGTCAGTTAGTTTTGCACATTTGCTATGCTTTTGGCTCATGCCTTGTGTCTCTGTTGCCCTGAACAGTCTGAGTTTCCCGCGGGGGACCTTGCAGGATGGCACCACCAGGTTCACCTGCAGGGGGAAGCCCATCTACCACTTCCTCAGCACCAGTACCTTCTCTGAGTACTCCGTAGTGGATGAGATCTCAGTAGTCAAGATTGATTCAGCTGCACCCCTGGAGAAAGTCTGCCTCATTGGCTGTGGGTTTTCTACTGGTTATGGGTCTGCTGTCCAAGTTGCCAAGGTAGGAATGGCAATGGGTAATGAAATTAAATATGCTCAGGCTGTCAGGAACCAAAATGGAAGCATTTCCTCTCAGGAATCAGAGAACATTTCTCAAGGATTTTATTAATATCTTTTCCCCTGATATGATAATTACACTGATAAACTCCATAGAATTTGTGGTGGTGTAAAAACTGACACCAGTATTCCCCACAACAGCACTCTCTACTCATCCAGGTTTTGTATTTCATTAGAGTGGTCACACAGAACTCAGACACATTTTTACAGTTCTGGAGTTCATTAGGGAAGGTAACAGGTTACAATTCAGGCTCAGTAATGTCCAGGGCACAGTTCTTCCAATCAGAACTGTCTCTCCTCTGCTGTGCCCACACACCAGCCTCTCTCTAGTGATTGGCCCCTTAGCCTGGCTTCTGCCCTGTTTCAGAAATGTTATACAGTTCTCTTTTTCTTTTTTAAGGTAAAGTAAGGGGAACATACAGGAGGCAGGGGGACTTCATGTCCACAAAAAGACTGCCTCCACAAAGCTCTTTTCAACTGCTAATAAATGCCACCAAGGCACAGTACTCAACCTTAAGCCTCAGCCTAAAGGCTGTTGTTGTT